AGTTACTGCAACAGACGTGGGACACAATTGCTGGTAGACAATTGTTAATTGTGTAGGTTGAAATATTTATTTTGTCACTCTGAATGCAGCTGCTTATCTCTAACGTGACACCTGCACATGAGAGCTTTTAAAATTTAAACTTTATTCTTCTAAATATGATATTCTAAAGAGCACTGACAGCATTGACACTGTTGCACAATAGACAATATGTGGAAATCATTTTGGTTTGAAATTTATCTTGTTCTCTTTGATAAACGAAATGAACCATCATTTCAAAATTTACACCTGTGTATCAAAAAATATTCCACTATAATGGACAGACTGATGGATCGAGCCATCTGCTCGGTCAGAAATGTTCACAGGCGTATTTATTCTCCCTCACTTTCGTATTCTGACCGTCCAGAAGCTCTGGAAAAGTACGGCCAACATTATTTTCATTGACTATTCATCTGCTGAATATTATTTCAATTAACTGATTAGTTGTCTGGTCTATAAAAAGTCAGAATATGGGGAAAAATGTAAATAAATATTTCCCAAAACCCAAGATGACTTCCTGAAGTCTGCTGCTTTGTACATAACAGAAAGACATTCAGTTTACTGTCATAGAGGAGTAAAGAAACCAGAAAATATTCAAATTTAAGAAGCTGGAATTAGAGAATTTTGACCTTCAAAAAGGACTCAAACCAATTAACTGATTATTTAAGTAGCTGCAAATGAATTTAACAGCTGACCAGTAATAGATTCATTGATTTCAGATGTTATTTAACAAGTGAAGGCAGCTCGATGATGACGAGAGAAGACTTTTGTCTCCCAGTGACTGTGTAATACCTAAACCTCCAGCATGAGCGTCGATGAGAGAAGCACCAACTGCAGTTCCCGGGTCCAAACCCAAATCTGCTGCTGCCTCCGGGGTGAGTCCGTCTCCCAGCGGGCTTCCAGGAGAACACGACACACAGCCTGGATGACGGAAAGGCCACAGTTCAAAAATATATATATTAAAAGATGATTTGTGAAAATAAGTTTTTTGATTCTCTGACCTATTTTGGAAAAGTGATTTTCCAGAAGGTCCTCCAGTCCAATGCCCGTCCAAAAGCTGGCATCCCATCCTTCTGGAGGGCAGTACGTCCACTTACACACCAGAGTACATAAAGACCTGCAGAACATGGGAGAATAGGACCGGGACGTGATATTTCATGAAAACAAACACGCTTTTGAGTATCTTTTGAGCAGCACGGACTAGTTCGTTGTCAAGGTCACAGTATCAAAAACACTTTGTCCACGATAAAGGGCACGTTATCTAGAATCACACTGCTACAGAAGGACGTTCTTTATTTTAAACAGCTATTAGATTTAAGGGCAATATTTCTCCATGACAGCACAATAGCAGGAGGAATGTACACAGCTGCCCAGAAAGCTGGAATCATTTTTTTTTTATTTTATTTTTTTACCTCTTCTCACATTTATTCTTAATAGATAAAGTGTATATCTTCTCAAAACTTTATTGATATCACAATATACAAATAACACATATCACAGTAAAAATTAAACCACAATTAACTTGTGTATTCAAGCTTAACAATTTTCAACAATTTCCCTGAGGTTCTACCAAAGGGATCAATAAAGTTCTATCTATCTACCTATCTTAAACAGGGGGAGGACACATCTCCTGGACCAGTGGTGGACGATTTTAAACCTAAATGTGACAAAAACTAAGGACAAGTGCACAAATTTTAGAAGGAATTCAAACCCACCACTTTTAGCTGTAATTAAGGTGGAGACTGTGGAGCGTGTCAAAACCTTCAACTACCTTGGAGTGGTTGTCTTTTAATGAAAACACAGACATCGTTTACAAAAAAATCACAGCAGCAACTGCACTTCCTCCGTGTTCAGCAAACTAATGTCAATGTTTTATCACTCCATGGTTGCATCTGTCCTGACCTTTGCCATCATCTCCTGGTTTAGCAAAAAAAAAAAAGGTTAGGACGCATTGTTAAAGTTTCCAGTAATATCATTGGTGTTACACTGCCTGATCTGCCTACAATCTTTTATAGGAGGGTACACTCTAGGGCTCGGGATATCACTCAGTGCCCTGATCATCCCCTCTATGCTGGGTTTGAGCTCCTACCCTCTGGCAGGAGACGTAGACTGCCAAAGGCTCGATCCAACAACAAGCCATTGCTGTACTGAATTCAAATTTTGGAGGATGACAGTTGTTTTTGCATTTGTTTTCTCTGCTGTTGCGTGCTGTCCATTTCAGTGTGGTGTCCCCATGTGATCGACTGTGATTTTGTGTTTTTGTGCATCTTGCCTGCCTGCAGGGCAAATTTCCCTCAGGGGACAACAAAGTTAAATTAAGTTAACCTAAATCTTTAGTTAAGTTAAGTTAAGTTAAGTTAAGTTAAGTTAAGGCTATTGAACAATAGGACTAAGGGTTTTGTTCCAACTTTTCAACCTTGGTCAATTCAGCAAGAAACACATATTCGAGGGGACTTCATGCATAAGAATGTCCAATCTTACTCTTTCAAATGTCACTAATATTGAGTCTGGCCACCCCTGACACAGATCAATGTGTTAAGACATCGTGGCAAACTGTCCACAAGCTGGTTGATGGTGTCAATGGACAGGACGTCCCACTGTTCAGTCAGATCCTGAAGTCAGAATTGGTTTCACCTGGTAGCTGGGACTCAGTATGTAATCACTAAACCTGATCAAGAGTTATTACTGATGTGTTTGAATAGAAATAAAAAGAGGAATGTGTCTCAAAACAAAACTTATTCCAACTTCATGGGCAATGGTGTATTAACATCAGCAAGATTTTGCAGGTAACCGTCAGTGATGCACACAACATCTTCATATTACACATGTACAAGACCTGACTCACAGATAAGGATTTAAATTAACCACCACGGTCCCAACACGGCTTACCTCGTCAAAGAGCCCGTTGCCTTCCAAGACAAGAAATCTGGCAGATCAAAAAAGTGAGCGGCTTTGTTCCAACAGCGTTCCTTCAGATTCTGGAGAGAAACGTGTGGAAATAAACACCTGATCAATGAGCTGCACATACACAAGCACTTAACCCATCAGCTACCACCCGAGAAAAAAGGCAGATTGAAAAACAAATAAACAGCACCGAGTACACACTGACCAGCCGGGAACAAACAGCGACGATAAAAAGATCGGATCGTGGGGTGGCGACCTCGCTCACCTCTCACCTCTTTGAGCCACAGCAGCTTTGGGGGTTGCATCTCTGGTGACATGACCCCTCCCACCCGGCTCAGGACCCGGTGGCCGGTGTTTGTTATGCGAGCGGCCTGTTCTGCAGCGCGATGGTCCATCCACATCACCACGTTCCTTTGGGCGTCACCTGGGAAAGACAGGAGAGGAAGTTAGAAGATCTGGTAGCAAGAGATGTTTTAATTAGTCTATCAGGTGATGATACAAAACACTGTCGTCATGTCATCTGGGCAGAAAATATTTCCGTATCTGGGCCCTGGTGTTTGAGTCCTTCTTGTGTAATTAGAAAAAACATGAATCACTACCAGCTCCAGGCCTCTGCTCTGCAGCTGCCCTGACCTTTGACCTCACTGTGGAGGAGGGGAATGCACCTTAAAGGATCAATAAAGTATTACATTACACTACACAGGAGCAGTTTGTCCAAATAAATCTCAACAACTGGAGGATTTCTAACCAATATGTTAAAGAAAAAAAAAAAAAAAACACCCCAGAAGTCATAATGAATTCTACCCCCAATGTGTACTTAAGTGTACCTACATAATACGTTCATAGTATTCAGGTCAGAGCCACAGAAGGCTGAGAATGCATCGGAGTTAATCACCCACCATCCTGGCTGACTGGCACAGGCTGGAAGCTTTGGTCCAAAACCACGAGAGAGCAGGTGGCATCAAAGCCGATCCCCCGGACCTGGCTCCTCTTCACACCGTCAGTAACTTTCTGCAACAAATACACAGTACAGTCTAAAAAAAAAAAAAAATCACACTATTCAGTGCTCACACATTGTAAGCAATGTCTGTGGAGTGACTGCATGAATCCATCAGTTCAACATACAGGGTGTTTTACATGAGCCCTGTGATTCCCAGCCAGGAAGTCAGGTGGTGCATGGAGAAGTAGCTAAGGGTTGGCCAAAAGTAGTGAATCAATCTTTACCTGCAAATAATGCATATTTGAAATAACTAGTTAGAAGTCGGGCTGCAAGGTGGCTCGGTGGTTAGTACCGTTGCCTCACAGCAAGAAGGTCACCGGATCTTTCTGCGTGCAGTCTCCATGTTCTCCCCGTGCAGCGTGGGTTCTCTCCGGGTTCTCCGGCTTCCTCCCACAGTCCAGAAACATGTTGAGGTTAATTGGCGATTCTAAATTGTCTGTAAGTGTGAATGTGAGTGTGCTTGGTTGTCTGTCTCTAAGTGTAGCCCTGTGATAGACTGGTTACCTGTCCAGGTGAACCTGCCTTCACCCTGAGTCAGCTGGGATAGACTCCAGCCCCCCACGACCCCAGTGAGGATTAAGCGGTGTATAGAGAATGAATGGGTGGATGGTTAAAAGTAATGGAGATTTGTTCAAATGTTAACTAAATAGATATCCAGCTACAACACATGCCAAATAGCATATTAGCTAAAAGTGAAGGAAAACAGATGAAATCCTGATTAAAAATAATGAATAAAGATTTAAGAAAAGTTAAAATACCAGCTAAACATAATAAATAAAAAATTAAAATAATGAGCTAAAATGAATGAAAAACTGTTATGATAGTAGTAATCAGAAATTAAGTGGTCAACTAATTCAATAATTAGATAAAAGCCATAATGAAAATACTAAAAAACAACGAGTCAACAGTTGAAATTTCTAACTAATACTTGAGACTATGTTAAATAAACATAGAAGCTTAACGCTGTGATCACTAACACACACGAGTAAAAACTAAAATAATTATCACACCGAGTACACCTCTGACTTCATTCAGTCTAATTGAACTTGGTCATAAAACGACCTGTGGACACCAGAACTTTGGACCTGTGTGCTGCGTCTGTCTCCTTGTTGGCATCATGGCTCAACACGGAAAAGAAGTGCCGGACAAAAAAAATCTAAATCAGTCGAAACACAGTTACAGCAGGAATCAGGAGGCGTGGAATGAGCTACAATACCACTAATCAGAGCTGCAGTGGTCGTCCTGCTGAAATAACACCATGGACAGTGTGCCACCTGCTTAGTGAAGCTCTGAAAACCAGGCGAGTGGTTGAGACTTGACATAAAGGTTATCAATGGAAATCTCTGTGACGGTTTGGTGAGTGCAAAGGTCATAATGTCAGATTCTGTGGACAACATCCAAGGAATGCTTGCTCTTTGGAACAAAACTGCAACTTGAAATTTGCAAACAAGCATGTAAAGGAACCTGATAAACACTTTGGTCAGATGAGATCAAAACAGATTTGTTTGGCTCAGATGGGGTCCGGCGTGTTCGGCACGACTCTGGCCAGGGCCGCAGCAATGAAGGCATGATCCTGACAGTGAAGCACGGAGGTGGGAGTGTCATGAAACTTAGACTGACTTTATTAACCCCAGAGGGAAAGTCTGTTGTTACAGCAGCAATACTCAACAAAGAGGTAAACAAGCAAAAAGACAGCACAGAACATTAGGGGATAAAATGAAGGTTAAGCAAAGTAAAATAAGACAAAAACAAAACAAAAACATGGAAAATATAATATAGAAAAAGTAAAATTTACAAGAATATATAAGAGATAACAGAAATGTGCAACAGGGCGTCATGAGCACAAACAGGGAGACAACATTTATAGAAGACCCCGTAAATGAGTGAGCTCAGAACGCTGAACTGCTGATCCAGATACGAAAAAACTTCTTTATTTAATTGCTTTTAGTTATTGGATCCTGAAGAAACACTCTCTCATCTTGTTTGTACTGCTGTGTATGTACAGCAACATGACAACAAACTCGATTTGATTTTGAATAAATGCCTGTGGATGAACCAAAATACTGGCTGACAAGTTGACTCCCAATCTGCAGAAGCTTGGCAGAAGAGGAATATTCAAGTAAGAATAAAGAACTATGACCTGGTCCAGTGTGTCATCTGACCTGAATCCCACAGGACAACTTTGTTTTTTTAAAGAGATAGGTAGAGAAACACAATCTTTCCAACAAACAACCATCCACCCATCCATTATCTATACACCGCTAAATCCTCACTAGGGTCACAGGGGGCCGGAGAACCCGGAGAGAACCCACGCTGCACGGGGAGAACATGGAGACTCCACACAGAAAGATCTCAGGCGTCCTAACCGGAGGTCTTCTAGCTGCGAGGAGACGGTGCAGGCCTCTCCAGCAAACATCAGCTTCATAAACTATTCAGTAATGTGTGTAAGTTCAGTGTCTTCTGTGCCACGGAGGATTGATTCTGTCATCAAAAATAAAGTTGGACATCGAGGTATTAAAAATAATATCACTAATGACTGACTTCTGTGGTTCTCAGGTCCTACTTTGGGGCCTGTAGTTTCATTATAGAGAATATAAAGTGTTTATTTTCAATCTTGGGTAGGAGTAAATACCCTACTGCAATATCATAAGGTGGCACAGTGTTGAATGATTCTCTCCTCGGTTGTAAGTCATGAACAGTCATCTAGAACAGTCTGATGTTTGAAATAATGATTAACCCACTTATGGGAGCTGACCAAGGCACCCTGAGGCCATCCTACCTTGACCACCGTGCAGCATTTGTCCCAGATCTCGGCGGAGGACTGGACATAGTGGTCGGCCTGGGGCTCCCAGATGCTGATGGGCTCCTCCGCGGTGCTCCTGAGCCGGCCGTCCCTGGTGACCAGCGCGGCTCGGACGCTGGCGGTGCCCACATCCACCCCGACGTAGAAGCGCTCTGCTGCCATGAGCTGCACGGAGAGGAGCCGCGGGTTGATTACTAACCAGGCTGTCGACAGTCAGCAGGTTAAACAGGTGCAACACAAGCTCGTAATATCAGAAAAGATCAGCCTCGGTTCAGCAAGCATGTATCTGCAGAAGATAGCAGCGCACCGCCGGGCACCGTTGCGCCACTGATTTGCGCTAAATAACATTTGAAATAGACGCTATCAAACAAAACAGCATCAATGCATTAACTAGAACAACATCTCCGAACTCACCCAGTTATCAAATACTTATTTCAGGGGCAGAAAACATTTAGGTTTGTAAGTTTCTCACCAGCGGTACTTTGAGAGAGTTGGAGACGGTGGTTGGGACGGAACGCAGAAGCGGCCAAAAAGGATCCAGTCGCTTTTTTTTTTTTTTTTTTTTCTGCCAAGGCCGATGTAAGGTAGTGTTTGAGCAGCAGGAATCTGTGGAATTATCGTTTTCTATTCTGTTGTCTTTTCGAAATCCTTGTAGCATGTAGAGTAGAAGAAATATGGGGAATAAAATAATCTAAATACACTGGTTATAACTACAGTAACTGGATTTTTTATTTTATTTTTTTTAATCAAGCATTTTGACCAAATAACTAGGATGACATGCACTGTAAAAAAAACAACAACAACAACAACAACAACAAAAGTCATAAAAAAAACCATTAAAAATTGTTTTTTAAAAAAAAAGTGGAATACATAAATAAATAAAACATAAAATAAAATAAACAAAAAGTAAAAAATAAAAAAGTAAATCTGGAAGAAATTAAAAAATTTCTTTAAAAGATTTTTTTTAAACTGTTGTTCTTCAAACAGTTCACTGTTATTTTAGAAATTGTAACTTTTTTTTTGGCTAAACAACAGATAAGCAGCGAAATCACTGGGGAAAAGGCATCAATTCATGTATTTAAAAAAAAAAAAAAACATGCACAATAAAAAAAAAAAAAACAGGCCTAAACTGCAAATTATGTTCACATCAAAAATCTGTATTTTTACAAATATTAATGATTCTTTTACAATAAGTGTCTATAAAATGGCAATGTGTGTTGCTGTAGGTAAATCAGCTAAAACATGTCTTAATTATTTCACAAACATCTGCCATTATTTTCAGTGTTTTCACTTTTTTCCCCCACTTTTTTAACCATATAGTATTAAACAATTTTTTTTTGACATATTTTTGGTCCACTTGATGCTAGATTTTCACTTTTTTTTTAAATTTATTTATTTATGGTATTTTTTTATTTTGTTTTACACATATGAGTTTTGTTTTATTTTATTTTATTTTATTTTATTTTATTTTTACAGCATGAGTTACATACAATAAAACTGTAATTTTGGAACAGGTTGCCATTTGTAAAAGAATACAGAATTATTGATGTGGACATTGTTTTATAGTTCTAGCCTATTTTTTAGCGTTAACTTGTATGTTAATGCTTTGGTTTTTTTTCTGTGATTTTACTAGGTATTATCCGTATTTAACAAAACAGGGAAAATCTTCAAAATAACAGTAAATTGTTAAAGAAATTTCCAGTCAAACACTATTTTTTAGAGCATGTGTGGTCTGACCAGCATGTTTTTCTGCATGATGAATTTCTAATTAGTACTCATTATTACTAATGAAGGGCCCTCGTCAGTTCACTTGAATTTATCATTTAGGCTGCATATTCACAAGCAAATCTGCATTTAATTAATTTGCAAAACTAGTCTCTGTTGGAAAGAGCAGACCGGCTGACCTGCCATTAAAAACATGTTAAGAACTGATTTGGAAAACTTTCTACTCAGGCCCACCTTGTCTTTATATTGTTTTCTTTACTTAGAGGAGATAAACAGCTGTCCAAAGGAAGCGGCGCTGACTGTGATCAGCGTGTTTGGACCAGGAATGATCAGCAGAGACGGGGAACAGAGAAAAATCAAGCAGCAGGACAGGAAGAAACAGATGGTCTTCAACAAACACTGCGTGGACAGTGTTTGAAATCTCATCTGTCTCTCTCACTGCTCTCAGTGCCTCAGTATGTGTGTGTCCTGAAGGGATTCATAACTTTTCCCCGTTGATACGTCAACACATGCACATAGAGCCTTTTCCCCGTGTTTTGCTCTCATGAAGGGGTGGAGGGGTGTTTCCATGGACCCTGCACTGTCCCACCTCTGTACAACAAAAGCAGGGCCTGTTGGGAGGCAGGCAGGACCAGCTCCTGATTAGAAACCTGCATGCAGTGGAAACAGCTGGCCCAGGCAGGGAAGAGGAAAGCAATGTTATCTAAAGGCGACCCCGTCGGGTCAGCACAGGGGAAAAGCTGACAGAGAAACAGGAAGCGCAGCCGGGGCACGGTGGTAGTTTGATAGGAAAATACTCCTCGGTGGGTCTTTACACAGGTGTACAGACAGAGAGGGCCTCCGAAAGTTATTGTCAAGGAGGAAAAAAAGAAAAAGAAAGAAAGAAAGAAAGGGCCTTGCTTGCCATCACTGTGGTATTACAGAAGTTTGTAAAGCATTCCAGCGCTGGCTTTCTACTTCAGGGTGTCAAATACTTCCAAATGGGTGTTGCACGGCGGCCGTGTTGTGAAGACAACATGTCATCTCGAGAGTGTTGACCTCAGGCAGCTCTGGTTATCCCGGGCTGTCTGGGGCTGTTAACTTATTTATAGTTGGCTTGAGGAGAACATGTTGAATAATACAATGGAGGAGCCAGACAGACTGGACTGCAGCTGCACAGAGGCTTCAGTCAGTATAGTGCAGCTTCACATTTACCTTAAGTGAGCACAGAACGTTTGTATGAATTAACATACACCCATATATGTCCTGAGCAGGAGGATTATCGTGGAAATCGAGCGCTTATGCAAGCTGAAAATGGCGAAATGACTCATGAATGGAGTAGACGTACTAAAGATAAAATCTAGGTTATGATACTTGTACTTTGATAACACTGAAGGCAATGATAACCGTGTTAATGCATCCTGTGCAAAAATTCCCAGTATGCATTTAAAAAAGAGACGCAAATGATAAATGATGGTGCAGCTTGTGAATAAAAGTGCACAGTATAGGTTACTATAACACTATGTGTAACTAATAAAAAGGACTACTTAAAAAAGGTGCATGTTACAGTTCATTTTCATGTCATGCCAAACACTTATGCCAGTCAAGATGGGACAAAAATGTTCATTAAAGAACAAGAAAAATGGTCTTAATAAAATAATTTGTAGGTCAACAGTTAATCAGTTGTATCGTACTATATGAGAACGCTAAAAGGGAAAAGGAGTAATATCAGTTTGACAGTTCATAAAGGTGCATCAGCGTCCATACAACAAACTACAGATGGGTGACAAATTAAAGGAAAAACCAACATGAAGTATTTTGGTAAGGTATTGAGCCACCACACGCCCCCAGGACAGCGTCGTTGCTCCTTGGCATTGACTCTCTAATGTCTACAGGAGGGATTGAACACCATTCTTCCACGAGATATTCCCTCATTTGTTGTTCTGATGACCTCTTACAGATGTTTAATCAGATCTGGTGACTGTAAAGACCATAACATAGGATTTACATGACTTTCATCCAACCATTCAGTGCTCTACTGATGGTAGCACCTTTATCCTGGAAGAGACCACTCTCATCGGCATAGAAATGTTCCATGAAACATAAAGGGGGTCATTCAGAGCAATTTGTATTGATTTGCAGAGATTCTTCCCTCCAAGAGGACAAACTATGACAGAAAAACAGCACAACAGAGCCACCAGGTCTCCTCCCTATAGGGCTCAAAAGGTTTTTCCTTTAGCCATTTGCATCGTATTTAAATAACTATAGATGTTTTTATGTTT